TGCTTTATAAGTTATAAGTTACGATTAATCCTCTCGCAGTCGAAATAAAACTCGAATAATGTTGAAAAAAATAATCGAATTTGTTTCTCCTCGTAAATGTTTTTATCCGCTATAAAAATAATAAAAAGATATTTCTGTATGAATTAAACTTTAAAAAAATGAAAAGCTCCAATTGCCGTTTATTTCCAATTTTTCAGTAATAAAAACCTTCAGCGGAGCGCATAGACGGAAAAAAATAAACAAGAGCTACACGGATTATAACATAAGTGAGTTATTGGACTGCTCACGCCTGTGCGCCGAACGGATTAAAATGTAAAAAGTTAAGATATTCTTTTCTATAGGATATTTGAAATAATTTTAGGTGGACAGGTCGAGAGATTCGTCTAATATAAACCAAATTCCACTAGCGTCGGATAAACCCTTCTTCCGAATGCTTATTTTATAGCGCGGCGTCATAAAGACGCGATCTTCCAATGAACGTAAAACTCTCAGGTTCGATTCGGGCGCCTCAATAAATACGGATAGGGTGGGAAATGCGGACTTGTATCTGCCATTCCTTTCTTCCCATTTCCCTTCTGTCGCGCTTTCCCGCGCGTAATGTACAATATGTGAACTTCCTTAATTCTTTTCGCCGAACCATATGAAAAGCCTCGCTCCCTTTCGAGTTCTCGCCCGCATTTTCATATTTAGTCGGAACGAATCGATTTCGGTCACGGCTTTATTTATCGAGGACGCGGCTTCTTATGATGGAACGCTGGATAACAGTAGGGGGAATATTTTGGCCAGCAGCCAGGGCATAATCGTTTCCGATAAATACCCGTCGCATCGGAGAACGGAAATGACTGACAATAAAGAAGGATGGAGGCGGAGGACGTGGAGGAGTGGAATTCTAAATGGGAAAAATGTGTCCGCCGCGATGGTCGGAGAGTTTCCTCCGAAGGGAAATTCATTCAATCTGCATCCAGTCTGCTTTTCGCTGGCTGGAGAGTTCCTGCGGGCTGAATTTGTCAGCGGGGCCAATGGCAAAAGATTACTGGGTACGGTCGAGTGTTTCTGACACTGGTAACAAGCTGGCCCTCGTAACAACGAGGTTCTAATCGGATTACGATGCCCGCCCGAGAACCGACAACTTCGCAAATTATTCAGCGAACGTATCGTCTGAGCTCGATGTCTCGATTCCACATGGTTGCAATGATCATTTATTTCCCCTTACCTCGCCACACACGAGTTTTTAAAATACGAACCAGATTCATTAAAAAAAGTTCTGCTATTATTGTCCCTGCTTATTAGATTTTAAAGCAAATATGAAACTCATCAGTTTTTATGTGACAAATAAACGCAATTTACTTTTTCTTGCGAAATAATTACTAGCATGCATACGTGTATACGTGACAGAATGTTTTCCTATACGGAACAAACAATTTCCTATAGCACATAAGAAATTATTTGCGCACGTGGAAGTTAATGAATCGAGTCGATCACACGGCATTCGGAAATTTATGTTATAGGAACTTGTAAATTAAAACCTGAACTGCGGTAACCCTTATGAAAATATATTGTTCGCGATAATCGCGTTTACGGCGTCGAAATATTTAAACGCTTCGGCATCGCGCAACGATGCGTTCTCATTAATTTTTTGGTCAATATTTCAAATGGAAGAGTACATCGTGTTGCAATTATCACGGACGAACGCTAAATTGTGCAACACGTGAAGTAATGATGATACAGTAAATTGATTATCGCGTAGCAACAGCCAGAGCTGGATGGTAATTGACATCGAGCGAGGTAAAAAGAATTTCAGATTGATTTTATCTGTCCGACGAATCAACGCGGAACATTTTTAAATAAACCAAATTGAATCGTCGAACCTTCCAACGCGCGAAGTTGAAAAACGCAAAATCCGTGATGCAAGTGACTAATAAAAAACACGAAAGGGATAATCCGATGGCTCGGAGCTGAGTTATTGAGTTAAACAAACACAGATTTATTTATCATTTTCGACGTCGAGTTTGCTTATTAATTAAATACAAAAGATTTCGTTAGTAAGTTTAACAAACCCGGCGGTTCTACCGTCGTGAACAGGTTTTTCGCTGACTCTCGGATTCTCGACACGGCGCGCACGTATTCCCATGAAAATGTAATCTGAACAGTGGCGTGTGAAACGCTAATTACACCGTTTTCAGTTAATTATTTCAACCCGAGTAATTCGGATTGTAGTAACGGTAATATTACTAAAGAGCAAACTAATGCCGTGAGCTGTTCAATTTTCAATCTGTTTGCTCAAAGTGTGACCAGCCAATCCATTAATAAGGTAAAATTCATAAGTCAACATTATCTCGTCCATTAACTTATTATTAATGTTGCAAAGAAGAATCGGTTTTAAATTCAACACATCATTGTCGTCCTGGCATCGACGACGCAAGAAGGAGAGTACATAAATTTCAAATTATGTGGAAGAGATAAAGGTGACTGAGCACGATATTACGTACGTACGGTCATGTAGACGGGCTTGGGCCGGTCGTTACACGAACCTATATTATATGCATATGGATGCATACACGCGGGATGCGACGACAGAACCGGGGAGCACCGTGTTTTGCCGCGATTTAACTCATCTGTCTTCATTACTCGGGTTTCTTTGATCTAAAGTAGATCCACGGTACAAACGAGCAAAATTCAAGGCGTCCTCGTCGCTTGACACGCAATTCTACTTTTTTTTTCTTAGCTAGGAAGGTCCGCGGGTATTAAAATATTTTTCCACGGTCTGGCTTTTTCGCGACGTGAATTTAATCCACTACAATAACTTCGACCGTGAAGTTAATTTTCAACCAACGTGCATCTTTTGCGTTTAAACACGAACACGACGGAGAATGAAAGCATAGTTAATTACCACAAAGGCACATACTTGTGTATGAATCGTTTTAAGCTAATGAAAAGTGCAAAATATTTATGAGTAATTCTTACGTGAATTCAAATGTCAACAAGAAATTCTGTAGTTTATCAATGGCTTACCTTCGTATTTCAAATCCTGGTCAAGCTTCTTGCATTAATTATAAGAATTACGGTCACACAGTCGGTGCTGAAAGTAAAGGAGGGAATGATTCAGAATATGTAGAGGTTGTATACGTGACAGAATGTTTTCCTATACGGAACAAACAATTTCCTATAGCACATAAGAAATTATTTGCGCACGTGGAAGTTAATGAATCGAGTCGATCACACGGCATTCGGAAATTTATGTTATAGGAACTTGTAAATTAAAACCTGAACTGCGGTAACCCTTATGAAAATATATTGTTCGCGATAATCGCGTTTACGGCGTCGAAATATTTAAACGCTTCGGCATCGCGCAACGATGCGTTCTCATTAATTTTTTGGTCAATATTTCAAATGGAAGAGTACATCGTGTTGCAATTATCACGGACGAACGCTAAATTGTGCAACACGTGAAGTAATGATGATACAGTAAATTGATTATCGCGTAGCAACAGCCAGAGCTGGATGGTAATTGACATCGAGCGAGGTAAAAAGAATTTCAGATTGATTTTATCTGTCCGACGAATCAACGCGGAACATTTTTAAATAAACCAAATTGAATCGTCGAACCTTCCAACGCGCGAAGTTGAAAAACGCAAAATCCGTGATGCAAGTGACTAATAAAAAACACGAAAGGGATAATCCGATGGCTCGGAGCTGAGTTATTGAGTTAAACAAACACAGATTTATTTATCATTTTCGACGTCGAGTTTGCTTATTAATTAAATACAAAAGATTTCGTTAGTAAGTTTAACAAACCCGGCGGTTCTACCGTCGTGAACAGGTTTTTCGCTGACTCTCGGATTCTCGACACGGCGCGCACGTATTCCCATGAAAATGTAATCTGAACAGTGGCGTGTGAAACGCTAATTACACCGTTTTCAGTTAATTATTTCAACCCGAGTAATTCGGATTGTAGTAACGGTAATATTACTAAAGAGCAAACTAATGCCGTGAGCTGTTCAATTTTCAATCTGTTTGCTCAAAGTGTGACCAGCCAATCCATTAATAAGGTAAAATTCATAAGTCAACATTATCTCGTCCATTAACTTATTATTAATGTTGCAAAGAAGAATCGGTTTTAAATTCAACACATCATTGTCGTCCTGGCATCGACGACGCAAGAAGGAGAGTACATAAATTTCAAATTATGTGGAAGAGATAAAGGTGACTGAGCACGATATTACGTACGTACGGTCATGTAGACGGGCTTGGGCCGGTCGTTACACGAACCTATATTATATGCATATGGATGCATACACGCGGGATGCGACGACAGAACCGGGGAGCACCGTGTTTTGCCGCGATTTAACTCATCTGTCTTCATTACTCGGGTTTCTTTGATCTAAAGTAGATCCACGGTACAAACGAGCAAAATTCAAGGCGTCCTCGTCGCTTGACACGCAATTCTACTTTTTTTTTCTTAGCTAGGAAGGTCCGCGGGTATTAAAATATTTTTCCACGGTCTGGCTTTTTCGCGACGTGAATTTAATCCACTACAATAACTTCGACCGTGAAGTTAATTTTCAACCAACGTGCATCTTTTGCGTTTAAACACGAACACGACGGAGAATGAAAGCATAGTTAATTACCACAAAGGCACATACTTGTGTATGAATCGTTTTAAGCTAATGAAAAGTGCAAAATATTTATGAGTAATTCTTACGTGAATTCAAATGTCAACAAGAAATTCTGTAGTTTATCAATGGCTTACCTTCGTATTTCAAATCCTGGTCAAGCTTCTTGCATTAATTATAAGAATTACGGTCACACAGTCGGTGCTGAAAGTAAAGGAGGGAATGATTCAGAATATGTAGAGGTTTACGAGATAAAAATTAACATAATAAACAACGTAATAGAAAAGTATCGGGAATATGCAATTGATATTTCTAATGTTTTCGATGGATTAATTAATGGTTAATTTGTAGGAACAAGTAGATGGTCGGATCAAACAATTATTTTAAAAGTATGTACTATGTTTATTATCTGCCTGACATCATTTTCGCAGGCGTCGGTGGTGTCGTTTATATACAACCTGTGTACACTCTGTACATTCTGCCCTAAACGATAAAACGTTAACACGTAACCTGTACAGAAGCGAGAATTTATTCAATTGCTAATAACCGCTAGATTTCTGATAACTTTATATTAGAGTTAACACGCACGTGATTCGCACTTTCATCGCTCTCATTTCGTCTCGACATCATGCCCTTTCCATAACCCACGCTCGATCTTAATTGACTAATTTAATTCAGAATCTCGGAACACGAACAATTGAAATATGGAAAAAGATCGTCCCTCTTACGCGGACTCATTGTTTTCTGATCGTTTTGGTCATTGTTATTGTTCCAAGATGAGAAATTGATTGTTTACCTTGCTGTTGGATGATCGGCGCACGTTTTCTACGAAATCTTTTGTTTCTTCCATGCCAATCGATCAAAACGTTACCAGAATGATTTCACTAATGGAACGATCTTGTTTTTAGAAAACACAACGTCGCACGTAGATAAATTCGTTTTAAATTCGGGAAATATCGCGGATAGAAACAACTAGCAAACACACTCTGTCACTCGCAACGCAGTTCTCAGATTCGATATGAAAATCGAGATTGCAGATCGATCCCTCCAAAATTTTTTTTTAATAAACACTATCGATCTTCAACTTTCACCATCGACACAATCGTAAATGCATTCTATGGACACTCTCGACTTAGTGCGGCGCATTCTCGTAATAATTCAGTGGAAACACCGTGGAAAAATATTCTGTCTAACGTCGTAAGTATCGTTAAACCATTAACGGTCGAAGATCATGCCGGGCGTAATCGATAGCCGCGTATAAAAGAGGGTTAGGCTACGTTCGTTCAACTCGCGGGGCGTGATCGTTCGTAAAAGCGAATTCGGAATACTTTAACGAAGAATTGTCTACTTACTTGTTGCCCGAAGGGTCCGTACGTCGTTGAACGGCGAATTTTTCTAATAAGCGTCGAGACAAACATCGTTGATACCATCTCGGTATTCTTTGTCCGGTATTCAGAGTTATTACTTATATTTAAGATCGTCTTAAGCATTTGCTCAAGCCCCTGTTTCTTGTACAAGACTGGAAATGTGGGGTAGACAGAGATTAAAACGATCTTAAAAATAAGTAACGACTACGAACACCGGCCATTGTCAGTTACAAAACTACGCCGACTATGCGACGCGCGATCTGCTGGCCCTCTGCTACAACTATCGCCGTCTCATTCTAAAACGCGCCTCGGTCACGATATGTTTACTTCTTGTGTGCGCCTCGACTCATCCCAAAAAAAACGTACGATCGCCAGTTTCGAATTAAAAATTGTGATCTGTGAACGCGACCAATAAATGCTGACTTCAACGACATGTTCGATCAACAGAAATAATCGTAATTAAGGTAAGTATCCTTTCTGAATCTCGTGAGTAATAAAAATGGAAGCTGGATAAAAATGTGTGCATTGCGTGCTGCACGATAGGAACGGTGGAGAACGAACTTCAGATCACAAGGTGCAATCTATTTAGAACACGTCGCGTTTAACAACTGGTGCAAAGGAGAATGCGATGGAAACAATCAGAGTCTCGGTGAGTCTTTCCTTTCACTTACATTGGATTTAAATATATCACCATGATAAGCTTCTTCTGCTAAGGAAAAATATATTTGCATGCATTTTGCTAACCTGTCTCTCGACGCAATACGACACGCTGTCAATAAACCGACTCTCCCCGTGTCGTTGATGTCTATTCACATTAAATCGCAGACTCGTTTTATTGACCGTACTTGTCTTTAGTAATAAAAGGAACGTATCCATATAGCAACAGCGAAGATTGTTAACAATAACTTGCCGTAAACGTAATTAATTATCGAATAAGTATATTTATCGTCCGTACACGAAACGATCACCGAATTCAAGCGATAACAAGAAACAATTCTAAAGCTCGTATCGGTAACAACATTTTATGTAGCTGGTAGTTACCACCCTTTTGCGTACAAAAATCATTATTGGTCCGTGATCCAATCGATCCGACGCGACGCGGTAGGTGACCCTTCTCGCGGTCAGAATTAAACACTAGAAAGGTATCGTGGCACCGATCTCCAGATCCATCGAGCTCTCGGTCATGTCGATCGATCTGACGACGCAGCGCAGGGCGCCAAGGGACGCGCGCGAACCGTCGAACGAGCTTTGGGTGCCTACGGTTCTCCTCGATGGTCGCCCGAACCTTCTCACGTTTCTGTTTGGCCAGGTCCGGTAGAAGGGCTCCTGACCGTAGTGTTTCAAGGCACTCCAGATGGTCGAGGATCGTCGCGGCGGTAAATGGGAATGCGAAGGACAGCCACAATGCTGCCACGCGAGGCTCGGTGTTTTGCAACGGAATATCGGCGCCCTGAAAGCCTCTGGTGGCCTCAGGATCGGGAGATCGTTTAACTTTAAGGCCGTCGATCCCTTAACCGGTGCACCGTCCATTGTCTCCGTTCGTCCGCGTAACGTCCTCCCCGTATTTGTTCCGGATACGTCGATCAGCTTCTTCGTTCCGCTGATTTCACCGACGTCGCCCAGACAAGTCCCCGGCTCTTTTGTTCCGTCGATGTGCGCCGGTAACGGGGCGTCGTCGTTACGTCTCGACGTTTTGAGATCCCGACGGACGACGTCCCGCGGCTTAAACTTGCCCGGTGATCCGGGTTCGTCCCGATGCCCGCGGCTAAATTGGTCACGTCGATCGACCGCGTCGTTGCACGTGGATCAGGAGGACGAGTTCGCCTCCACCGTCGAGCTCGTCGAAGCGTCGTCGTCCAAGGAGCTCTGCGTGGCCACTGTTACTCTGTTTCCATCTTTCCGGCTGGGCAGCTGCTGATCAGCGACGGTCTGACGGGGATGGCGTCTCTTGTAGGGCTCCCAATCCCCAATACCCCGGCGTCAGTGCGTCGCTATTACGTCCGGTGCGCTCTTTGTGCTCTCTATACTGAACGGTCGCCTCTGGTCCACCTCGATCACTGCTTCCGCCCTGTACCTGGGATCGGACGGAGGCGTCGTCCCTTGCTGCTTTGGCGTAACGGAGTGAGGCGTGTTGCTCGACGCGTTACTAGACCCATGACCGGATCCGTAAATCGAACCGTATCTCTCGCCCGAGCCGATCGTTCCGTGTCTCAATAATTTCGGTGACTGGCGATAGGCACTGCTTTCCCTGCTCGGTTTCGGGCTCTGAAACCTTTGGTACGATGGGTAATCCGGTGGTTCCGGGTAAGCGGAGGTTTGCAATGGATACGTGGACTCATGAATCGACCAGCCGGGCGGTGCCGGGATCGGATTGTGTTTCGGGCAAACACCCATACTGCCGTCTCGGCCTCTCGACGCTGGACTGCATCCTGAACACTGAGAACTCGGCTGCTGAGACTCGGAGGAAGACTGTTGCTGCAAGGCTTGGGAGCTTTGACGCGACTGCGTCGGACTCTGTTGATGCAGGTGATGGTGAAGACGATGGTGAAGATGATTGGTCCCGTTCTGCGATCCACCGCGGACACCAAACGTTGTGAACCCTGTCGGCGCTCCTGTATCTGGGAGTCGGGCAGTTTCGAAAAGGCTCTCCCGAGTTTGACAGGAGCTGTCCCTCATCTCTGGCTCCTCGTTCGATTCCTGCAAACGCTCCTGCGTCGCATTGCTCACGTTGTTGCTCTGGTGGATATCGTGCATGTCCGTCGTGTTATAAGCCATCTCCAATACGAGATCCTTTGCGTAATCCTGCGCTATTAGTGTGGTGGGCGGTAGAAGTTCTTTGCTGGGGATAATTTGCTCGAGGCTCGGCGAGTGGCTGCCACGGTCCCGGATATCTGTTCTGGAAGACGAGATCGGACAGGGTGTTGTCTTACGACCAAGTTCGTCTAATCGATTTTCCCTCGACTGCCTGATGTGCTCCTGTACAGGGCAAACAAATTCTGTCAATTAGCCGAGCAAATATGCTGACGTTAAATAACTGGTGGCGTAACCGCTGGACACCCGCTGTTAATAAATAGCAGCTCGATTGTGTCAATGTTTATTAACACGCATTGTTGGCGACGCGACCGTTATTTAGTATTACTTTCAACAAATCCCATTATCTGCTGTTTGATAAAAGCGTTACGTTATTCGCCCGGACCTCTCTCTCTCTCTCTCTCTCTCTCTCTCCCTCTCTCTCTCTCTCTCTCTCTCTCTCTCCTGTTTTTTTTTAAGTAGCATTCATGCGCGTACTGCTTGCGGTACTCTCCATTCTAGAGGATCTTTGCGGGTGACACAACGGTTGTTAACTTTGAATGAATATACACCGACGCGTTGCGCGGGACACTTCTGACTCGCGAAATTAAAATGCAAGAGCTCGCCGTTCGTTTTATTACCGAATACCTTTGCGTCCTTTTCTTTTTAAATGAAACTTTTACACGGCTCGTAGTTCCAACGAATTTATTTACATATTGAATAACGCGGCAATAGTAAAAATATTGATCTGTGCGTAGTATTATTTCACGTGAGAGAAAAATGTTCCCGTCGAAATAGGCGGTGGAAACGCCCGGAGCGAAATGTTTGATAACCGTGAAAATTACGTGACATTACAATAACAACGGCTAGCCAAGTTTTACGAAGCATCGCTAATTTCGCCTAAGCAATTACCCGGTTTACCGTTTGCCGAATCGTTTTGAAAAGTAATTTTCATCCGCTTGTTAATGCCCATTTCCCGACCACTCTCGATCCCTCCCACGTGAATGGGTGAAACGAACCATGGAGCTCATCTCATACATTGTATCAATCTTTTCCCGCGCTGCGCGAATGTTAGACACGTATGTATGATCGTACGTGACGAATTTCGAACGAATTGAATCCCCGGTCCTGTTTCCAAGCTGTAATTGAAATTCCGCCGTCGCGCAACAACGCGAATCGCGTGTAATGCACAAAGAAGCTACTACAGTTTCGCATGATTCGGTGCCACGCTTCGATCTTCCAGAAAAAAATTCGGAGAACGTTTGAGCTCGGATTGGACAAAACGGACATGAGAAATGTTTTTCTTTTTTCTTCTTAAATAAATGAACGAGATTTATTGTTTCGTTTGTTCGTTGAATTGCTCACTTTCACGTTCACTTGCCAGCAGGTTCACTTACCAGGATGATGCGATGATCCCGGACCAGCTTCCTCACGCAGTTGAAGACGAACGCGAAGCTCATGCCGAACATGATCAGCGAGAAGACGATCAGAATTATGACGATGTGCTGCGAGTCGATCAAACGAGATTTCTTCTTCTGCAAGTCAAGGTAGGAAAGTTTCATATTAATTTGATTCTATCGTCGGATCATCCTGAACGTTTTTGTTCATGATTAAAATGATTGTAGTGTACAATAAAATTTGTACAGTGAAAAAATGAAAAAGTAAACTGCGGATTTTTGTGCAGGACAAAACGTTCGCGATATCAATTTTACAAAAAATATCTACGATCATATTTCTTTTACCTTCAAAAAAATTTGCACATTCAATTTTTCTGTGAATACATAAAACTCGCAATCTATTAGTAAAAATTTCATTTAACTTTTTAAACGTCGTGATATGCATTTTGCAGCAGATATTCTATTTTTCATACCTAAATCTCCTATAAACGTGGAAAACCCGTACTCGATTCATGGTAAAGAGAATCTTCCGTATCCTTCAGACTAGTTTAAAGTGTTCAGGATGATCCAATAGCATGCGTAGAGTAGAAGTGCAAGCGCGTATAACGCCGACAGTAAACTGTCTCCGTATCGCTCTAATTATCGACTCTTGACGAATACTAACTCCGGTGTCGAGGGTACACATTCATTAGGAATAGTTAGCTGACACGACGCGGGAAGTTGCGCGTAACGTACCAAGTCGAATTTCATTCTCTTCTCACCCTTTGTGTACCAGTCTACGAAACCGCTATGTTAAGCGTCCGGAGAGAAATTTACAGTGTCATCTCACCCGAACATAGATCAAAACGATTCGGGTTTCAGCTTCACATGTGAGATCGTATTTACATTTAGCGCTAAGACACAGTATTCCTATATACGATGTGTCATTAGGTTTGCGTGTTCTTCAGATATAATACAATCACGCCGAGGGCTTGACACCGTAGAAATTTTTACGGATAAAGCAATCGCCATTTGTTGTGATTTTATCGCGGTAAAATGGTATTTCTAAAAGCTTTTACAATGAAACGTAGCTGGCGATTTTTCTTATTTTCCCTACGTTCATCGCAAAAACACGCTGCACCGCGATAAGGGCAATAAGAAGAACGCGCGTAATGAGCACATTTCGAGCGAAGAGTCCGGGGACAATTAACAAAATAGATGAGGTTATCGCGCTCTCGTTTTTTCCCCGAGTGAAGGCGTTCTCCGGCGTCTACCGAATGAGATTTCTGTGCATTAGATACGAACGTTTTTCCGAGTGGGCTTGAACCGGTGACGACGGGATAAACCGCTAGAGAAACGACGAATGGGCGAGGGTGAAAGAGAGAAACTCTCGTCAGTCGAGGGCTGGTAAATGCCTCTTTCTGTTTCTCTGAGCCCGAAGAGGGTTTATTGTTATGCTTATGTATCCAAGAATTGGCAATCGTTTTACATGTTAGCGAACAAGTCCGCGCAAAACTGTATTTCGAATTTGCTTTTGATCCCGCGTTATCGAGCACTCGGATTTATTTCCGTGTTCCCATAGCGAAATATCGATATTTGTTTATCGTACCCGTTGTTTATTCGGCTCGACATTGGCTAATAGTTATGCATGTCGCGTATAAACCATAGGTTTTTTTTACAACGACGCTTCGGTATTTCTGTGCATATTAAGTGCGATTGACAATTTTAATAAAACGCCAATTGCCTCTTTGATTGCTCTGGCCCAATATATCGAAATATTATTAAATACTCCATGGGAAAAGGTTCCGACAATTTTTACTCCCCGTTTCAATCGAACGGCGCTTTCATAAACCATCGAACTCTAGCGAGCATGCAACTGTAAGAGGACATCAAACTGTCTGTCGAATACGTGGACCGGACGCGCACCTTTTTCTCCCCGTTGGTTACGTCGGGACCACCCGGGAATTCTTTGAACAGGAAACGGGGAGGCCAGTCATGCGACCCACGGGAAATATTTACTTTCCGTCACATCAGACTTCTCATAGTGGCCGTCGTCGTTCTCTCTTTGTGCCGCTACCGGCCAATTTTATGAAACGCTATAGTGAAAAAAAAAGGAGTCTCATCCCTTTCGGAGAGACGCTATTTACATCGACCTCGAAGGACCCGAATCGTGTATAGAGGAAAATTTATCTCCCGCTGGATTTATGCGAGCCCTGGGACAGAATTCCATCGCGCGCGGTGAATTCGATGTTATGCGCCGTTTAGCTCCGTTCTAGACGTCGTTATTTTTACCGGTGACACGATTTCCCGGATACGTTACGCGAGCGTTGACAAAGAAAAATCTTTGCGCCTTCCGCAGCCGGAGCTTTATCAGGCACGCTCGTCTCACAAAGACGCTGCTGCTCTCAATGACGAATGAGAATCCTCGTTCGTTTTGCATAGGTTCATCTATTCCTTGACCTGGTTCACGGAATAAGACGGGGATCTACGCGCCTGGTTGAAATTAATGATAGGCCGACGCGAGGACACGTTCCCCGGTCCTCTCGCAGAAATATAATTAGTCGCAAAAGGAAAAATGCTTGAAGAACATCTCATTAACGGGTAGAAATAACGAATGCCGACGATTCTGTTATGTTCAATATCTATTTTTCCGCGGGTGGGGCAAAACGCGAGGAATGATAATTAAAGAACATTCTTGCTACGGTAATTATTGTAGAATCCTCCGACGAATTCTGTGCATCCGAATCGATTGCTTCGCATTGAATCTCGGGGACAGAATGGATATAAATGGGGGAACGAGTGGATATCGAAGAATCAAACGCGACTTATTCCTATTCGCATCGAGCAATTGAATCGTTCTAAAGTGATACTTGAACGCGAAGTTAAACGGGATTCGAATATCCATCATCTAACGTTTCTTCTTAAGGATGTATTGGCTATACAGTCAATCCCAAAAGTTTATGCACTTTAGAAACGCATTTTTTAAAAAGAAATCAGACGTCGGAAGAATAATGCTAATAATAAATAGCTACGTGCTAAAAAGTATAGAAGGAAATATCCAATTAAGTATTGACGCTGGCGGAAAGCTTTTTATACAGAAATTATAAGCCCTGACGTTCTCAACAAGAAAGATTCTATGAATTTTTCTTCTAACTCGAGTATTTAACAAGTTACATATGATTATTTGGCGTTTTATTGATGTTGACAAAATCCGACCATTCCACCATCGAAT